CGGATTCGGCTGTAACCTGAGGAAACGAAGATGGTGACACACTTCGTGTGTCTTTTTTCCCTCTCCGTCTCCGACCTGTTGAAAAGTTTATGTGGTTATTTCACTTAATTGTATCCTAAATATTGTTGGGAATAAGAGATACAGATTTAATTGCGGCGATCACTTATTTCACAATGACAACTAAAACATTCCAACAGAGGTCATTGGGTCCATGCGACGATATCTTCGAAAGAGCTAATGCAATTCATTCATCAAGAACAAGAGAGACCATCCCACACATCATTTGTTTAGACACGAAACTTCCTGTTCCACTGCACTTGTGATAAATTAGAGGTATATACAAATATTTATCTGGTCCTATCGAAAAGCATGTCAAATGGGACTAATTAAAGCAAGGTTCTTAACTAACGTGTTTTTCAGATAACAAAGTTGACGGACTCGCCCAAGTGAAATGTTACCTATATAGCATATGTATCTATAAACCATGACTGATATAACATGAAGTGAAATCAAAGAGGTTGACTTTAAGCTTGACTTTAAGTTTCCTGCGGAACAATATCGTTTTAAAAATGAACACTAAAAGGTAGCTGCGGTGAAAATCTTATAAATTTGTGTGCATTCAGAAAGAGGCGGATATATCGTATTACCAGTCTGACTATAATGTCTCCGTCGTCCGCAACTATATAGGATGTTTGAGAAAGGCGTGCCATTATTTCTAATGTATAAAGTAAATCCAAAAATGAGGAGAGTAGATCCTATGAATATGGGTCCTAAGATGCTACCCTACCTAGACACAGGATGATAAAGCTTTACTTATGAGATTGAAAAATATGTTTACGTAGCTGGTAAAGGTACTGAGTCAAGATCTCGGACGTTAAGTGAGCATATCGTAAGCAACAAAAACGCAGAGTTTCCCGGCCCAAACTAAACCAGGGACGTATAAATTGGAGTACCTGGACACCTAACAGGAAATATTTTCTATGCCTCTGGTCTTTGCGGAGAAAAGAAGTGCATTTGGTAGAATAGCATTCGATTTTCCATATTCTTGAGGAATTTTTGTGAGAAAACTTGTTTTGTAGATATTTAGGTTTGAACATTTGAGATAAAAGCCTAAAATATTCTTATAAAAAGCTTTAGCGTCCCCTACTCTGAAAATACTGTGCAGCTTGACGTTGTAAAGACTATATTGCATGTGGAGGAAGTATGGAATCTCATTGAAAAATTATTCGAATAATATGCGTGTCATATATACGTATAAACTTACCATTCAATAAGCCTTTTTTGTGCACGCCACTGGCTTTGCCAGCATGTTTAGTTTCGTTTGTATATATTATATATGAAGAAACAAAAATAAATAAATTAAGTTAATAAGCCTTAAACATGACAACAATAAACATTCCATTTGATACAACTTGCGAGGTTATTTCTAAGTTTATGAGGATATAACATTGGAGACCAAAAAAATTAATATAGAAAATTATTCCTCTAACGACCCTAAATTTCATGTAATTAATTGGGTATGGGGTCTAAAGAAACGCAGTTTCCTGTTATAAAGTTGGCGACGTTTCGGAAACTTCGTCACCCTGTATTTTGGTAGAGAAGCATCTTGTTGTTTTTGGATGTATTTTCACCCATAAAAATATTCACACTTCTTCCTGAAACACCCTGTATATTCTTTCTCAATCTTTGAAGCATTCTTAATGTCACCTACACATATTAGGATATATAGGGGCCAAAGGGTCTTTGAAGGAATTGGGCAGCCTCTTATACATAATGGCTTGTTGACTATGTACGGATGTAGCCAGATATTTGAACCGAAATCAGTAGTACAGCATAGTATTCCATGCCGAAAATACGATTCGGTCTTGTGTGTTCTACGTTCAGTGGTGGGGTTAGCCTTGGAGAAGAACAACAATCTGTCGAAACAGCTAGGCGGCAATCAAAGTACTAAATAATAATCGCGAGAGCCATGTCATAGGGAGGATTTCTGGTTTGAAGCCTGACTGTCATCTCTGTTCTTCAACGATGCTATTGGGGGAGTATTATGAGTACTTACTGTCTGACTTTTTATGGGGTGTATAATAATGACAGATTCATGATAATCTCAGCTTAAGCAAATAATCGTTCAGACATGAGATTAACTCATTATAAATGTTCCAGTCCTATCATCATCATTATGCCAATTTGAACACCAGAAAAAATCACTGATGTAATAATTCTAGAAAAGAAAATTACATATTTCCTGGCCTAATCCTGGAATGAAAATTCAGGCCGTTACTTCTGATCTTAGTCAGGTAGAGCTTTTGAACCACAGGCACGCGAGGGGAACAGCGGCAAAGAGATGACTTGTAGTAGGTTATCGGGTTATCGCCTGTGCCCAATGGTTCTAGCGGAAGCTGACAAATAGTTTCTGCACTGGCCGGCGGGACGACTGTCAGTAGGTTGAATACTTTTTGCCATCACAAGCGTTGGCTGTTCTGGCAACGTTGTGTTATAACACCATGCTGTGTTCAGCTAATGGATTTTAGTCCTTGTACTGCACCTTGAGGAAATAGTTTGCCAAAGAACGGGTATGATGGCCATTGAGCTACATTCTCACGGGGAAAAAAGACAACACCGTGGCACGCCCTTGATCTCTCTTTCGTGATTCTTAGCTTGAGTGGGGAGTTGAAAAAGAACCAGCGACGGCCGTAGACTAGGTGACGGTTCAGACAGTTTTACAGTTTTGAGTTAGTTTTTAGCACTTAGCGAAAACATTAAGACCATATTTTCGCCTTTCTCACAAAGTGGCCTAACTGACAAAACACTAAAAATTGAGATAACCCTCATATAGGTGTATTCTTCCATTCCGGTTAATCTGATGAAGAGGCGTAACTATGTTTCTATTAGTGTAATCAACATACCATTAACCCATGGTGCCTTATCTGCAAAGGTAAATATATAATTTCCAAGAATAGACTTAAATGAAGATAGGTCTCTTAGTGTGCAATAAGTAGTTCCGACGACGAAGACCTTAAGTTATTTCACCAAGGACGCTTATGGAAGGAACATGGAAATTGAAACGGAGACTAACGAAAACGATTCTTTCTCTGATGATTCAAGAGCCTATTCTCCATATGGTAAATGTGAAGTGCGATGATGCAAAGACGAAGTATGTGCCGCCTGCCACAAATGTGAAATCCTCTTATATTGGAATCATTTTCATGAAGACACAAAGTTTTGTTCTCAACATTGGATTCGTCAGCATGTTACTGCAAAAGATCAGAGGAAAGAGGAGACCAAAAAAGGAAAGAAATGGGAGTTCATTCAATCCAGAAGATTATACTGTTGATGGTGCCTAATACAAAACTAAAACAAAAAAGAGCCAATGCTCGGAAGTTAGCAAAAAATGCGTGATGCCAGAAAGGAATATAAAAGTGCAAGAAGGTCGGAAAAAGTTATTTTCAAAAGCAAAGAGAATTTATATCGCGACACATGGAAAGAACTACTACCAAGAGGAAAACAATCGGAAATCTTGAATATAGGCGATCGATCTTTTACAATAAAATATTACCAGAATTCCAAAACTTTTTTAGAATTTGCCCCATGAAACGGAATGAATTATTAATAATTCTGCATTCGTTTTTTTGTGTATCATAATACATGATTAGCTGGTAATGTGCCAAAAGGTAATATTCAAGTTAGATATTTTTCTTTTAGTTTCTTATTCCAATAAAAAATGCTTTGACGTTTCGAGTTATTTTCTTCATCCTATCACCTAATATTTGTGTCATAAGCTATCAATTGGACATTCAGGGAAATTTTGTAGGGGGTAGCCAACATTCAAAAGTCGATCTGAACTTTTTTTACATAAGCGATTACTTAAAAACTTAAAAAATTAACACATTCCCTGGGACAAGCGCCCCTTTGGCTGGAAATATGATTCTTCACTCATAAGTAAATGGAATAAATTCTGTATTTCTTAAAAAAGTATAATAACAAGAACTTAAATAGAAATATATTTTAGCTCTATCTTATGAAAAGCTTCTGAAAATTCTCACAAAGTAACCTATGTGCGTTTTCCAATTTTTTCCAAAATAACTTGATAAATTATCGCAAATATTGAAACAGCGTATGATCGACAAAGAATATGGGCTGATGCACTGAAATTTTTAATTCGGAAATATCTAAGCTTTACATACAATGCTCATTCAACCACACGCTGATTTTCTTGCTCTCCTGTAAAATTTACATTGGTCAGGACACCTCGTGAGGAACCCGACGATATGCCTCGCTCCCGTCTAGGGTAGCGACGGCTGAATTCAAGACAAACTCACGACATTTTTTTCAGAAGGGGACAATTCCACAAATGCAAGGTTTACGCCGGAGTGCCACGTTCGGCGAGAACGTAGCTTGAACTGCGTTTCGTAACAACTCTGTCTTAAGTTGAGCTGGTCATCTGTCTTGCGTAAGATCATCTTGCTGTCGATGGTGGACGTTCATGCTCGTCAGAACCCATCAGAGATGTACGCTCATTGAACGAGGGGAAGCAGATCTCTTCTGCTGAGTTCCATTAGTTTTAGTAAAAGCCTGAGCACTGGAACGATACGAAGTGAAGCGAAGCGTCATGTTTGGCAAATGCAATTAAAATCTCAACCACGGTTCTCCTCGTGTCGCTTCGCCTTAGTCAGGGTGTATCTTAAGACCGCAGTTATACTCGCAAGATGCATACAACAGGTGGAAAATTTCTTAACAATTAATGAAATCCAAGGTGAAGGCAGATTTAGAAATCTATAAGTCACGGTTCTCTTCATGTCGCTTTACCTTAGTGTGGCCGCAGCTTCAGACCACAACAGGCTTGCAACAGGTGGAAGATACGAGTATGTAGGCGATTTCTGAATTTCAAGGTCAAGGTCGATTTAAGACTTCCACTTTTGAACTCTCGGGATTGCCTACTAATACTGCTAATAAGCCTCTTTGACGTGGTCTTTTTTAAAATTGTCTGAGAATAATCTACCTACCAACATCCCATGGTCAAAAACATACGAGAAAACCTGGCCGCATGCATCAAAATACACTCTGATCCATAGCCTTGTAACCCGAGAGATTGACGTTCGACAAGCGCTCTGCGGGATCAACACAACGCGGCAATATTAAAAATCATGCAAATGAGCCCATCAGGTGTGAGAAATGTGCACATTCATTACTTGTGTGGGCGACACGTCTTAGATTACATATGGAAATGTTTCGCGCGTTCTGCGACACAGGTGCTGCGTGCTGAAGCTGTCCGCCTGCCGCCGCACAAGCACAGGCGAATGCCTGCTTTACACCAGTTTCGTATACAGGGTGGCTCAAATCGTAACATTATTTTGGAGTGAACAAAAGCTTTTCAAACTTCCTGCCTTTTGTAGTGGAGATCCCAGAGCTTCCAGATATTACCCATTTTCTCAAAGACAAAACTTGGGGCAATCAGTAGCGTTTATTTGTAGGGGGGCAGTACGGTAGAGTTGAGCCCCTTTTGACTTTAACATACATGAAATTAGAATTATGCATTACAACTTGGTCACTCAAACATTTGTTAGTATCTACTACTATACATATATGATGTCGAAGACATCATTAATCCGGTAACTGTAACTGTTAAAAACTGTTAAAGGAATGATTTTTGGTTGACGTCTTGTGTATCTGTTAAGTTGAAAAGGGGTCCGAAAAATAGTTCCTATATAAACATATGCCTAGTACCAGGATACAGGGTATTGCAGATTTCTACGCCACTAATATGACAAATATTGTTGAAATGATGCTATGGATTTTCAATCCCAAATTTCGCTAACATGAACGTATTTCAAAGTAGAACGGGTTACCTTAGGTATAATATTCAATACAAATTTCCTGGCAAACAGGAAGCTTGATTAAAAGTTTTTCAAGAAAGGCGGCTCATGTAAAAGTGAATAATATTATTTAAAAATGCACTACATGTTTCAAAAAAAGGCAGTGGCATAGAGAATAATTCCTTTCTTCTGTAGGGTCCAGACTTTCCCATTTTCTAAGCTGTTGGTATAGTCTTATGCGCAATAACGTTTGTATGTATTGATGTAACGTTATTATTGCACAAACAAAATTTCAGGTTAGTATCTCAATCCACTCCGAAAATATATTTTTTTATCGATGTTGAAACTCAGTGAAGAAAATGTAGACTTAAAATAGTCCCCTAAATAACATACAAGGTTAGCTCTTAGTGTGGGCTTTTTGGTCAGAAAGATTCTATGGTTACATATTATATTCTCAATAACTAATCATTTTTTTGTTAGCTTATTTAGGGTCGACAAGAACGCAAATTAAGGATTGCTCTGAATGTTGAAAAAGAACACTCTGTGTATTTTCACACTTGCTGATTCCCATTTTAACAGCCTTTTTTTCTGATAGGTGTATGGTGGTTCCTACAGCTGGTTTTTGACTAACTAAAACAAGGTCTTGATTTCCTGAGTTTATTGTATAGAGTTAGGTAGGTTTAGTTTATGATGAAAATACACAAATTTTAACTATCTGACGTTACTAATTGAATACAATTTTTGATTTTGAGAGGTGCTGTAATATCTTTCATTTATATTGATATCCGGTTCTCAGAAAGGTTACCATACGTGCAAACTGCATTAAGTCTTATATCTGAAAAAAGCTTGCGATAAGGGGAATAAAAAAGTGCTAAAATATACATAATTGTGTTCCACTTGAACATTTCCGGAAATCGTTCATTTCACGTTCTTGACCACCCTGTATAGTCTATAGAAAAAACTGAAATAGTAGGTAGATACGAAGAAAATTTGAAAATGTTGTATCCGGATAACGTGCATGAGGGTGTCGAAAAAACCTTAAATACTTTTTATGTAGCAAATTTCATTCTCTACTTTATACCCTCAGGTTCGGTTCGTTCGGAAATATCATTACTTTAATATCTCATAATCTGCTGAGTATACCATATTTTTATAAAACCAAGTGATAAAGAATTTAAATAGGATGAATGATTTCCCATGTTTTCCGTCAAACGCGTTTCAGACTGCTATTTGCTCCTCCAACACTTCTAATTGCTATATTTCTTCGAAAATATCTTGGTGCGTCGGAAACGTTTGAAAAAACAGATCAATCTTGTGCACAAATGACATCGGCTTCATTTCCACTGCATTGGCTGAGAACAACAGTTTTGGAGAAAGGCATCATCCTTGCATTCATACTTATGAAACATCCCGATTTGAGCTGGCTTTGGAGTTCATGATTACAATACCTCACCGCTCTTTGGACCAGAAGGATAAAGTATTTTTTTTTGTATTCTCTAAATATATTTGTAAAGTCTCCTAGCAAGAAGTGATGTCATCACTGAACCCATTCAAATTTCTTGGATGTTCAGGTATCATTTTTGAAGTCAGTCACCCTGTACCTTATAGTTATATCGAGCAAATTCTTTTACAGAGAAAGAAATACAGCAAAAAATGCCACATGAGTGTGATCGTCTAGCGACTAGTATGGCATTATATCAACGCTGTAAATAACTATGACCGGATACAGATATGTACTTAGGTCTGAGTACACAGAAACAGCAGTACATACATGTCTTCTGAAATTTGTACTGTCATTGAAACTGTGATTCATCGTGTTCCGTCGGACCATTGATATTGAAACCAGATATGTTTGAGGAAACTATCATTTTGCTTGGTTTTTCACGGCTCATAATTTGGGTCAAAATCGAAATTTGTTGCATCAATTGCAATTTGATAACTACTTATGTGTCATGTCGTAATAGGTGTAAAGGTATGCCACCATAAAGACCTACCATTTATTGGCATATAACGATATTCGAGTAAGTCAAAAACCTTATTATTCCTTCTATTGGACATAAAAAGAAATCTTGGTATAATGGCAGGTAAGCCTTATACGGACTTTGAAAAAGTTAATGCTCTCTATTCTAGTTGTGTGTAATAGTTGCAATTATATTTTTTTAAGATTTATACCAAATATCCATACCATGGTTTCACTTTAGAATCATGATGTTTCCTAATGACAGCTAAATGGTAGATCAACCGAAATCGTGCATCTTAAATATTACAATATCTAGACTGGTTGTGAATAAAATAAAACAAAACACCAGCTCACGAAAAATTCTGCCTGTTATCAGATAGGATCAGTTGGAAACGCTTAGCCCAGTTAAAATACAGCAAAAAACTATTCCAAATCCGCAAAAATTCCCACTGAGCTGAAAACTGGTACATACCTTAAGTACACCATTATGAAAAATATTCCCAGAGGAATATAAAAAGGTGGTGTTGTTAAAATGGGTGGGTCATGTTTGCAGAATTCCTGATATGCGAAGTACAAAACTACTCTAAGCGGATGTTCGGGATGGAAGAGAAGGAAAGGAAGACCAAGACGTTTGTGGATAGTTGCTGTCAAAGACGACCTGGATACGTTGAAAATATAGCAGCCAAAACAAAAAGCACTGGATGTAATATTTTGCAAGAACACCGTAAAAGCTGTTGTATAATATATATTATACTAAATGACATAGAAAATGCGACACCGACTAGGAGTGCTGTAATTTTGAGCATACTTTTACAAGTTTTATGTCTACAGATAAATAGAAAGTGATTCAGATTTTAACTCGAAATTTTGCAAAATAGTTGAGATATCCCACCTCAATGTTAATACGTGTTGAAGCTGCTCTGTTCGCTTCACATTCGTTAAGTCGTCGTGGCAGTGATTGGATTAGGTGATTGACGTCTTCTTGGTATTGTATCCCAAGTCATCTGAATCTAGTTTCGTGGAGCCTCCAATGTTTTTGGAGGGTGCGGTGAATTTTGCAACCAGCTTCCCATCTTGTCTGATACATGTTCTATGAGGAAAAGGTCCGGAGATCGACCAGGCCATTGAAGCAGATTTACTCCGGACGCTTCCAAAAAGTCTAAACTAACACGTGCGACATGAGGTCGTGCATTGTGCCAGAAAGGAAAGCAGATCTGGCTGTAAAACTTCGTAGATATAGCGCTGGGCAGTCATGCTGCCTCGAATCAACACTAATCGTGACCTGCTGCCGAAAGCAATGACACTCCATACCATAACACCCACAGTTCGATGGAATACTGTCTTTCAGCACGTCTCCTACTTGCTCTTGCACGGCCATCATGTGCGCCCAAACAGAATCTACACTCATCGCTGAACAGGACTGAGTTCCATTCCATATCCCATTCAAGTCTCCCTGCTAAATACCAATCGCTGCCGACGGTGCTGTGGGGTCAGAGGAAGTACAAGATGAGGACGGTATGAAAACAGTCCAGAAGACCTCATTCGGTGATAAACTGTTCTCATTGTTATTACCCTTTCGACAGCATCAAGCAACTGGTTCGCAACCACCCTTGTTGTGGAAAATCGATATCTAAGTGCTAGTTGACTCAAATAACGACCCTGTTGCTCTGTGGTCTGTCTTTGATGTTCAGTACCTCTAAATAGTCGATTTTGACATTCTTGGAACCACGCTCGACAACATCTCATTACAGTAGCTTCTTTTCGATTCACCCGATTAGCGATTTCTCTAAAAGAAAATCCGACTTCACGTAACCCGATTGTCCGATCCCTTTCAAACACGGAAAGTTGAGTGAAATTAGCGCGTTTGCGATCTCTAGGCATGATAATGCAATGAAACAACAGTGAGACAAATGGAACCAACACAGAAAAATCACTGAGTACCTAGTAAACATGTTCATATTGCTTCAAATATAGCAAATATGTTTACAAGTTTCCATCAAAATTCAATAAATAATCCTGGAGGTTGCATTTTATGTCACTCGGTATACAGGGTGTTCACTTGAAAACTTCCTACCACGAATTTATCGAAAACCACTGATTAAAGGAAGAAAGCCGAGACATCTCGAAAGATTTGTCAAGGAGGTCAACTTCTTAACCAAAAACTACTCAACCCCCTTTCACCCTCGACACCCTAGGGTCATTCCCTTAAAAATCGTAAATGGCAAGGGATATCGAGTAATAGCTTATTTGGAAGGTCTTTCGAAGTCCTTTATTTTGAAGGTTGATTTTTTTAAAATCAGTCGTTTCGTTTTCGAGAAAATTAGAAAAATCTTTATTTATCTTAATTTGTTCAGATAGAAAACAGAAACACACAAAAATATCTCCTTTCATTTCAATAACAATAAATAACCACCCTATTTTTTTCACATTTTTTTCATGGACACAGATATAATGGGCGAACTGTATTATTACTGTTATACCTGTTTAGTTATTTGTTGCTAAGGGAAAGAAATAATTAAATTTGCTGTCAGTTTCCTTTGTGACAATCTTGGGATAGTGAAAATAAATTAATTGATTCCGATTTTACTTCCAAAAAGGTTTACACACTAGCCGAAAGAGTGGAAATTATTTTAATTTACAGTGCCCAAAATCTGACGTCACGTTTAACGCCAGACATCCGGGGAAGATAACTTCGCATAGGTATGTTTTGGAACTTGTTGATAATTTTACCCAAACTGGATCTGTCAGAAATAAAAAACGGAGAGTTTTGGATGAAGCCGCTCAAGTTCAACTTTTGGGTCAATTTGAAATAGATCCTAATACTTCATGACGCAAAATTGTTATTGCAACTGGTGTTTCGTTAGGCTTTGTACACACAGTTACTAAACTCCATAAATTTCATCCATTCAAAATGAAAATATGTATTGCAAGTGTTGACCAAAGATGATTTCGATAGAACAAATGACTAGAGCGATTAATGATAATTCCATTCATGTAAAGAATATCTGCCTCAGTGATGGATGCACATTTTATCTAAATGGATTTGTTAATAAGCATAACTGCAGGTATTGGAGCGATGAAACTCCTCATGCTTTTGTAAAAGGGCATACCTAGTAACTCAAATAAGAAAATGTATAGGCAGGCGTTTCAGGAAACAAAGTGATTAGGGAATTGTCTATTGATGGAAATTTGAATGGAGATATTTATTTGGATATGTTAGAAAATACCATGAATCCGCTTATCACTGAAACCATTGAAAACCAAATCGTTAAGGATGGAAACCCTATACTTGATGAGACTGAAATATATTTCCAGCAAGACGGCGCTCCTCCTCACTATACTCTTCCGGTTCGGTAATGGCTAGACGACGAATTTCCAGATAAATAGAGGGCCTATAGAATGGCCTGCTAGACCTCCTGATTTGTCGTCATAATAAGACTTTTTTCTATGGGGCCATTTGAAATCTATTGTGTTTACTCCCCAACCTGAAAGTTTGGATGAACTCCGTCAACGCATCATCGAAAGCTGCCATGAATCCCGCAACATGTATTTTAAAATGTCCGTTAGGAATTTGAACATCACCTATATTATTATTTGGCTAATAACGGGCTACATTTTGAGCACTTATTGGAATAAAAAGTGGTGTTTTCGTGTGTTTTTGTTTCCTATCTGAACAAATTAAGATAAACGAAGATTATTCTAATTTTCGTGAAAACGATTTGACCGATTTTAAAAAATCAAACGTCAAAATAAGGGACTTCAGAGGACCTTTCAAACAAGCTATTAGTCTATACTCCTTGATATTCAAAATTTTTTAAGGGCAGAGGTTGAATGGGGGTGAAGTAGTTTTCGGTTAAAAAGGTGTCCCCCTTGACAAATCTTTTAACGTGTCTAGCCGTGTCGTCTTTTTATCAGTGGTTTTCAATAAATCATTGTGGGAAGTTTTTAAATGAACCTGTATATTATGTAACCTCTAATAGAAAATATTTTGCGCTTCAATGATAGGCGCGCATTTTTTATATATCCTCTGAAATCACAAATTGAAGGCCTGAAGCAATTTTTGGCGGGTCGAGTTTTTATTTTGAAAATCCTGAGCGCACCTCAAGCAGACCAGGATGTGTTAGAATGATACGAATTAATTATATATATTAACTTCTTTTTTGAGCTTTACCCATGAAGTTTTTTTTTAATCATCAATCATTTAATATTCGACACACCCTGTATAACATAAGTGATATGTAAATATTTTTTAATATGTTGCAAGGTCAGTGCTTCCCATAAATGTTTACTTTGAACGGTCGATTGCCTACACATAATACGAGATGTATCCGAAAAGCATCCGAACTGCGTTCATATCTCCGCATTGGTGCTGATCTTTGTCATCCGAGTCTTGGCACCCTTCGAAGTAGTCCTCATTTGATCGAACCGCATGCTCTTATCAGTACTCCCACATCTTAAAGCAGTCTGCGAATGCCGAATCGCCTCGATGTCCTCGAACCGCTTTCCTTTGAGAACCATCTTTAATTTTGGGAACGTCCAAAAGTCGGAGGGAGCTATGTTGATAAACGATGTTTTGCGGTGTTGTTGTGTTGTTGCGGAGGTCGGCTACAACTAGGAAAAAATGAAATCTGATAATTGCAAGGCCTACCTAGGTAATTCTATTTCTTTGAAATAACTAAGGCTTCGCAATAAATGTATGATATATTGTACATTTTTGCAATCAGAATTAAAAACTCTATCTGTGCCAAAATCCAATATGGCGTCCATAAGACAAAATAAAGTTGATGCTGGAGGACGAGAGACGAAACGTCATATTGGAATTCTAATTATGCTATCTTGTAGAGAGAAACTGACATGTCAATGTGTAAGTTATTTTAACATGCAAGTACTATTAAGGTCTGGAAAAAATTAAAACGATTTTGGGAAAACTTGTTTTTCCCATCTCTCTCCGGGAGTACTTTGAATTTAGAAAATTTTGTGAGCGGTATTTTGTTGATTACCTAATTGGGCAACTTTGCTTCCATTTAAGCGCTGGGGACGGTCGAATTAGAAACATCTTGTATTTATGCGTAATATGTGTATATATAATATCATATAGTACATAAGTACGTATCAAGAGCTATATAATCAAACATTGTTGACAAAGAGGTTCACACCAAAGCTCCAAAGAAATGAGACTATCGTGTACGGACACGCCCATTGCCACAAACCGAGGAATAGCTTTTTCATGAAAAGCCCAGATAGTACAGGGTTTGTCCGGAAAGTAATAGGACTTATTTTCTTCCGCCATGACTGTACTTCGGAGCGTGCGCGCACCGACTGGTTTCGGCAGAGGGCGTGCCTAGCTAACGAATGAGCGGCTGGTCAGTTGTCTCCTAGCACTTGGAGAGTCAGTACAAGCATTTTCGCGCGACGTTTTTCTGTGAGTGGTGCAAGCCAAAAATGCAGCGTTCGTTAGAGCAGAGGTACGCGATTAAATTCTGTGTGAAACTCGGTAAATCTGTGACAGAGACGTTTGGTATGATCAAGCAGGCTTACCCAGGTGTTACTTTAGCAAGGGGTGGTGTGTTTCGGTGGCACCAGGCCTTTTTGGAGGGCTGGGAAGAGGTCGCTGACGAAGACCGTGCTGGAAGACCTTCGACTTCGACAATCACCGATAATGTGACTCGTGTGCGCAAAGCTTTGAACTCAGACCGTCGACTAAGAATTCGTTTAATTGCCCAGATGTTAAATTTACCAAAATCTGGGTCCGACAAGACATCGCAGCCGACTGGAAGTTGCACCACGACAACGCCCCGGCTCACACCGCCTTTCTTGTGAACAGCTACCTGACAAAGGCCGGCATCCCAACGCTTCCGCAGCCGTCCTACAGCCCAGATGCGCCCCCCCCCGGACTTTTTTTTGTTTCCTCGCCTAAAAAGGCCGATGAAAGGCAAGCATTTTGAGACGACAGAGGGGATCCAAGCAGCATGCACCGCTGGCAGCGCTGCCTCGACGCAGAAGGAACCTATTTTGAAAGTTTCTAAAGAATTGTAACGATTGGCTCAATAAATTTTCTTAAATCGACTCAGTCCTATTACTTTCCGGACAAACCCTGTATATCAACGGTTCTGGTAATACCTAAATATTTCTGATGTTATGACAAATTGTACTAGAAGGTGTAGCAGAAGGCAGCATTTTTTATTTTGTGCGCCTGTGTTATGTTCAAAATGAGGTTTGATTTACTCGGATATTTATTGTAGCATCTTGCTAATAATACAATCACTGCATCTATGCAATTACGGGTTTTGCAAGCATGATCAGTGCGACAAAGTTGTAGGCAATGATACTCCAACTAAATCTTGTTTGTAAGGAGGCCACCCCGGCGTCAGCTCTTATCTCCCCAGCATACTGGCGCATGAAGTTGATCTTCTTGTCCACGTTGACCACTGCGAACGGGAATCCGTTGAAGGGTTTCGGATTGTTCATATTTGCTTTGGCACAACCACCACCTGCACATAGCCTGTCATCCATTCCTTTCAGCAACCTGCAATGTTACCATATAGCGATCGACTAGAAGATCAGGAATTTGGTCTGTGATATAAAATAATGTAGCGCATGATGCTGCGTTCCATTCTGAAAACAGCTCAGCTTTTGCTAAGCTTCAAGATTTCTTGGGCCTTGTACAGGTGAGAAGCCCAATTAACAAATATCACTCTTATTAGGGTTGCAAGAAAACTAGTACGTTGCGTACAAACGGAATGGGCACTCCTAATAGGACACTTCAGTCATTTAATAGGTTGTATAAGGGCTGCAGATAATAATTATTATTTATTATAATAAATGTGCAAACGCTCTTGCAGCTACTAAAAGACCTTTTCGTCAGCGCAAGGCTCAATTTTTGTCAACCATTCTGTTACACGATCCTACTTTATTGCAACCAACTATTTTCTTACGTATTATACAGGTGAAGTGAAGAATATTTTTAAATTAACACATTACACTCATCTTATTTACTGACAAATCCTACAATTGGACTTAACTACACTAACGTCTATCATTTTCTGCAAGAAGCAAAATCACGCGCAACATCAAGCCAGCATTTGATTTTCAAGCGACAGCAAAAGATAGCTTTTACCGCTTAGCTGTAGTTCCTGTAGTTGACAAGATGTGTCCATGCTAGGTCCTCTAATGGTCAAAGTACAGTGCCGTGTTTTGGAAGCATTAGACTGTATCATAATGATGCGTCCCCAAGCAGTGATAACCTCCAGGTCTCTTGACAGTCGTCTTCCCTGCAGCTAACCGAGAGAGACCGGATTGTCACCGTGAATTCCTGCATGCAGAGTACTGTCATCAGCGAAGCTGTGGATCGGATTTGTCATACAGGAAAGGAGGTCGTTAATATGTAAAAGGAACAATGTCAGGGTTAAAATCGATCCCAGGAGAACACCTGAGTTGACATTCTGGGATGAAGAGAAGAGCCCGTCAATCACGACGGATACCTTGCGGCCCTGCTCATCTCTCTCACCTTCGTTATAACAGAAAACAGAGTTATGGACATGTAGTTGTAAGGCTCGGTATTAGACCCTTTTTTGAGATGGGCTTGACATGAGCAAATTTACAGTTTTCTGGGAAAATGCCGGATTCGCGAGATATCTGGAAGAGATGTTAAAGAATTGGAGCCATCTCAGCTGCACATCTTCTCAGTACAACGGCAGGAATCAAGTCCGAACCAGCAGCATTGCTGATATTGAGCGACACGGGTACCCGTCTTACGGTCTTACGCATCAACGTTACTTCCCGCATAGTGTAGCAAACCAGTTGAATCGATGACACTCGGGCTGGGAACGTCCATGGTACACTTCCTCGTTAGCTTTTAAGTCGATTACAATCGTTCCACCCAGGTACGTGAGCGGTGGAAGGCTATTTTTGGAGAAGTTCCCTTCATTCTGCTGGTTCAGCGCCTAAAAACACCGACTGCCATTGCTGAATTATCCAGTGTCTAATTTTTTCATCGTGGTATTTGGCATTACCAACAGCTTTGTTATATTTTTTTCTGGACTGAATATCGGCTTGTCTGCTATCTACAGTGAGGTTACGTAAGAAGGTTCTGTGTATCTTGATGCAGTCTCTCTCGATTTGTTGAACCAGACGCTGAACCCTGCTTAGGCACTTTCAATGTATGAGGGATTTATTCCTCAATGTCCATGTCAACAGTCGGTGAAAAGTAAGCTGCCATTCTGTTATGTCGCCACAGTGCTGCAAACCGTACATAGTTATAATTAATATCGATCCGTACCTCCGCGAATACTGTTAGCCAGCCAATATTCAACAACCTTCATCATTATTTGTCAAGCGAAATATGCTAACACCATTGGCTAACAATGTTCTGCAACGATAAAGACCAAGGATGGCAGCTATATACAGCGTGTGCCTTAACGATGTGCGAATATTTCTGGGTGTGAATGTACATGAAAAATCTTAGTTTGCTTTATAAGCTATCGTCCACAAAAGTTTCTTTACAAAAAAACTCGTGGCGTTGAAGTTTTAGGAAAAAAATGGAAATTAATTAAACTTTTCAGAACCGCTTCAGATATTTCACTGATATTTAGTAGGTAAAGAAAGTTTATAAGGTTGCATCTTTTTCAATGCAAAAATAATTTTTAGCTTTAACAGTGGCGTGCGTACGGGTATTGACTTCGATATTTTTTAAGACAAAAATGGTACGCCAATGGTTTTTTGCCAAATAAAAATCATTTTTGATTCCCCGTTCAATTTAAAACAAATGATCTCTCCTGAATTGTTTTCCTTCGATGCGCCATTTTTGAGTAAAAAAAATAGAAACCGTACTATTGTCCGAGAAAATTAATGTAATAATTGAAGAATGCAACTTAGTCTAGTTGCTCTGGAATATAATATATATATATATATATATATAATATAATTTTGACATCTTACAAGTCTCTGTTATTCAAATCTGTTCGCTGTGACATCTTTTTCATTATTTAGTTTTTACAATCTTACAATGCAGGAATAGCGGAAATGCATTACGTATATGGCCTTGCCGATGATAATGGTGAGCAAGCCAGACGGATTTATCACCAGAAATATCTCGATCGTGCTTTGCCAGAGAGTCGAACCTTTTCTAATATTCATCGTCGTCTTGTTGAGTATTCGCATATCATCAAGTAACCCTGTATTCCTTACGTTCGATACATCATGTATCTCTGTATTGACAACAGCAGAGGCCAGGCTGCGACAAGTATATTTTTTGCCTTTTGTGTTAAGCGTCTAACAGGTGCATAGACTTACCTTACCGCTGTAGTTTTTGCCCATCAAAAAAATCCATAAACGACCAGAAAGAATCCCTAAATGCCGAAATACGAGGATTGATCGAGTTTAGATTTTTTCTTTTTTGCCTGTAGCTCCACTGAGAGTGGGTCAATTAACCAAAATTTCATCAAAATTCTAGTGGTACTTTACAAACAACCAGATATCTCACTTATGAAATTAATCCGCAATTACAATGCATCCTCGCCAATAATTAGCGTGGGAACTAAAATTGATACAATTTATTCGAAGGAAATTCTATCTTAAGTGTAGGTACTTTCAGAAGGCCTGGTTTCGGCTAAATACAATTTTGATCAAAAAAGGAATCTATTTCTTTTTTCATGTCCATAAAATATCTAAAAGATTTAACCATAAACAGCACTCATAGAAACCTCCTTCTGGCTAGAATGAAAGTCAGTTCTAGGTGAAATTTGGAACCTTACAGAATAAGTAGTCAGGTATCTGCCTATAGGCTTTTCGAGTCCAAATCTGAGGTGAGTTTGTTCTTAGCAGATCATTGAAAGGAAGCCTCGGGGTCATCTCAAGGGAAAATTCAGAAAATGCCGAGAAATCAAATCTACTAGACCTGGTCACAGACCTGTTTGTCCGTATGAGTCATTTGATGGGCGTTTCGCGGTCAGTTCGACGTCATTTCAAAAGAATCTGGTAGACTTTCTTTATTCGCGTTTTCTTCAACTTGACCTTGAAACGACCTGAAACTAATCTTCACCGTGGAATGGAGGAGGTTCCTGTAAGCTCCGTTTGTGGTTAAATCGCTTAGTTATTTCAAATGCATTAAGAAAAATGGTCCGAAAACACCAGCCTTATGAGCTCTCCTTTTCTACCTAACGCGGAGACAGTATTGAGGACGCTTCAGTCCTGTTATCTGTCATAGTCAAAGGTAACATTGACATTGAACAGCTGCTATAGGGCATTTGCTGTGGAGGACATCAAATTGCAGTACCAAGAGACTTTCACATAGTTTTGTTCGGCGTCAGAGTACATGTAACATTTTTTACTAGAGAGCTTCATTAAAAAGTTACGGGGTGTAAAGTTTCAAAATAAAAACCAATTTTTTTCAATATCTCCAAAACCGTCAACTGGAATGAACTAAAATTTGGTATATGGATTTACCTAAGCATTGTCCACATTCAAAAGTCCCTAATTAAAATTAGCGTGCATCAGTGACGGAGATACAGGGGATTAGTGGAATTATTTTTCCAAATAAACTAGTATGCAACTGTTTTTTTTTTCTCAAAACGCGCACTTTTTAGAATTTTACCTTCAATTTGCTACTAATACTTACTCTTAGTCTTTTTCCTAGAGTGCACTGTTTTTTTAAAAATGAAAATAAAACAAATTAGATGTCATAAGCTTTTTCCATTTCTGAGTGTCGTGAAATGAAATTTAGCAATGATGAGTACACCGATATTATTTTTGTGTATGGGTTCGGTAATGGAAATGCTTTAGCGGCTTCTCGGGAGTATCAACGTAGATTTCCTAAAAGACGTCCACCTACCCCAAAGGCCAAAAGGTCTTTATGCGTTCATTTCTAAGACTTCGACAATATGGAATTACCAAACTTCCCGGTGCTAGAGGCCACGGTGTCCGGCATACTATTCAAGAGGAACTCGAAGTGATTAATTTGGCGTTGGATCATCCTACTACAAGTACTAGATGAATTGCAGCCCAGTTACCATGTTCCTAAAGTCTTGCGTGGAGAATTTTAAATCGGGAAGATGTGCAATGTCATCAACCCGGCGACGAAGTGCAACGGTGAAATTTTTGTGAGTGCTTACTGCAAATGCGTAGTCAACATGACGATTTTATTGATTTGGTTTTGTGGTAAGACTAATCGATTTTTACGAGGAGTGGGAGCTTTAATTCTCATAATAAACATATTTGGTCGTCAGAATGTCCCCGTTCTGTAATAATCCAGCTTCAACGCAGATTTTCTAGAACTGTCTGGTGCGGCATTTTCAATCGCCAACTGTTTATGCCAGTATTTCCACTACGTTTAAATGCAAAATCATACTTAGCTTTTCCAGAGCATTAAATCGAAAATGTGTTAGATGATGCTCCGTTAGCAACGAGAGTACGAATGTGGTATCAGCACGACTGTGCCCCACCGCATGCGAGGTCTCCTGATTTAAACCCCCTGCATTTTTTTTATGGAGCGCTTTTAAACAACTACTGCATTCTGTAAAAATTAAGACTGTTGATCAGTTACAAGAAAGAATAAGATAATGCATTTCATCAAATTCAAGCAACAACATATTTTGCAGGAATACGTTTTTCTTTATTAATAAGATGCCGCACTTGTATCCGTCAGAATGGTGGTCTTTTAGAACATTTATTGAAATAAACCTTTGTTTATCTAATTTGACTTTCTTTTATTTTTGCGAAAACAATGCACTCTAGGACAAAAACACAAGAATAATTATTTGTAGCAAATCGAAGCAACGATTCGAAAAATTGCACGTTTTGGAAAATATAGTGGCGTATTATTTTCATTTGGAAAAATGAGTGTGAACAATGAGGTAAATCCACATACCAAATTTTAGTTCATTCCAGTTGACGGTTTTGAAGATATTAGAAAAAATTGATTTTATTTTTATCCCCCTTATCTTTTTAATGAAGTCCTCGAGGAAAAAATGTTACATTGACGACCCCCCTTAAGATACGGTTCTGTGTATGATGTTTCATTTTTGGTCACGGGTTGTGAACCACCGTGTAGATATACAAACCTATGCCTTAGACAAGAAGGACACAAGCGCTTAGCTTTCGATAACTACCTTGGTAAGAACTCATTATTGCAAACCTTTTGCCTACACCTAGCCCAACATTCTTCGACTTCTGCGTCGGCATGCCCCACACCTTGCACAGCATCCCCGAGGCACACCCTCCCCACGAAATCAATCCAATTTGGGCATCTCCACAGAACACCGGTCCTCCAGGCTCTCCAACGCATCCCAGATCTCTAAAATCCAGCAGGACACACATGTCCCTTTCAAACCGCCCTTTTTTGTAGACTTCTGCACATTCGGTTCCAGGGTAGACAGTGGCTGAAGAGCAATATATAGCTCCTGAGGTGGAAGAAGCGTTGGCCTGCATCAGACCCATGACAAAGGCTCCATCTTTGCATGAGTCCCATTCGTAAGCAGGTATGGTTGAGATGCGGAAATGGACATATTTGATAGAATCACTTTCATCGATGTGGGTTTTTAGGTGGACTACTGCGACGTCGTTAACCATGGTTATGCGGTTATAGCTGAAAGAAAGAAGTTTTCCGAGGATTGCCAGGAAATAATGTGTGCTGTTCCCGAGATGAAAAATCTAACTAAACAAGAACTTTGCACACTTTTTCATGAATAGACTCCGTTGCCGAGCTCAAAATACGTTGTTATATTTTTACCGTAAGAGTGCGGAGCCAGAGACTTGATATCTAGCTACCGTAATTGCTTAATGAAGACATCTGGTTGAGCTCATTCTTCTTTTAGCAAATAGGCTACTTGAGTCATATCTAATTATTTGCCTTAGGAAAACGAAATATATCAATTTCAATTTTTAAAAGCGCAAAAGGGATGTTCACTGCGAACCAAATTTGTCTGCCGGCTTGAGTTTAGTGTGTATAGACACATACGTTAGAAAGAGGCAGAGGCCGGCCGGACAGCGAAGCACATCACTGCGGTGCCTAGCAACACTGACGCGACAATCTGATGCGTTGCCAATATGTCGCCCCAGTTCCCTGAATTAAGACGTATGTTGAAAGTATGCGTTAGGTTATTTTCTACGCCCAAATAATGCTTTTATTTTGAGCGTACAGATTTTTGAATTGTGAATTGTCAAATGTGCTTAGGATCCATTCCCGATTGGTCCTAACGGCGCTCCATTTTAGGACGAAATGAAAGGTCAGGATGGTCATAAATTCTGCAACATTGAATCATTCGTTCGCGTGGCAACACTGCGTCTCCTACAATCCAGGGCAGGGTTTCCAGCTCCATGACCATAGATGAGTGATTTTGCTCAGTACCCATCTAGCGCTCATTGCGGAAATTCGTCCTGCTTCGAAATGATCTTCACCTTCATACAAACAGGCAGTGATAATTTGTATTGCATAATGGTATTTGTTATATTTCCATAATAACTGAGGATGTGTTGATTTTATTACCATCGTTGGAAATCAAAGGTAATCCTAAAATAAAACAAATCAGATCAAAATTTAAATAAATGATTCAAATCAAAATGAAAACAGAATAATAAATGAAATGTTCGATCAGACCTTCTTCTTGGGTTTGACCGTAACCTAACTTATTGTAGAAGTCTGTGCTAACATTTTCTGGAGGAAGTTATTGCCAACGCCGCAGATTGCACTACCTTGTGCGTCACCGTCGCTTAGGCAATGTGGTGATGACCTTTATTCTTCAGCCGGCTTCTATGTCTTTCCAACATGTATTGATACACACTTCTGGCGCTTCTTTCTCATACACATTGATTTCAAGCCATCAGACAAATTTGGTTTTCCTTGTATTAGTCCAATTTTTCAATATATACCTTTATTTTTAAGAGTACAGGTTAAAAACATTATCGGAAATCATGTGGTGTCATACTAATTGTAAACATAGAAACGTCCTCAGTATGTCAGTCGTGGATTAAAGTTGTTTTCTTTGAATTTTTCTAACCAGCACCTAACCTAAAGTAAGAAGTTACCCTATTCTCGATTAATCGGGAAAACAATCATGGACGTTGGATTCGTAAAAGCAGAAAATATTGACACATTCATCGTTAGTTAATCCCTTCAACCCGGATATCTGTTCTAATGAGCTGAGGATCATCAAGACTTCTATGTAAGTACAGTGCATCTGATATAATGATAGACATAAAAAGAAATAATAAGTGATATACATAATTTTTCTTTTCAGAAGTCATTCAAAACCAAGCTTACGGATCATAACCGCTGAATAATTTGTTCTATTATTGTATACCTTCTTATACATCTGCAAAGAAATCATTTGACATTGTAGACTTGACAGAAACATGGTTAGACTCTTAGTCTCAATTTTTCTCTTGGCTATGGATGTTGTAATTGTCCGTAGGTAGTAGACGGTCTCTGACTGTCGAATGCTGAGGTACCACCCGGCGGTTCTCGTAGGCGGAGCCAGAATGTGTGCATGTTGCATGCGTGTTCCCTCGCCAGGGTCCGTGTGGCGTTCCCCCTTTCCCATGTATCCCCCTATAGCCCCACGGTACCCAATGGTTGCTTAGGCCTTAGGCCTTCGTGGTAGTTGGGGTATAAAAAAACACCTGCTTTCCGGCCTTCGCTACTAGTTGATTGACCAATATACAAGGTTGGTTCAGGAAGCACTTTCGTAGCAAATATATAAGTCTACCTTGCCGATATGAATCACAAACAATACGTATGATTCTTTATATTTTTTTACATTCCTTTGACAAAATTTCAGAAGCACTATGTCGGAACATACCGTAAAGCCTTCGAAAACATATATCATAGATGTGTAAATTGTTAACCAAAAATAATGAAACAGATCCGAAATTTTGTTTGTAATAATATGATCAAGTTTTCAATACGCGGTCAAAGTCGGGTACCTCTTGGAGCCGCATAGGATGCTCATAAAATCAAGTGGGTTAACTCACAGTTTTTATATTTATTAAGTTACTGTGGAGGGTAGATGCTCAATTCATCAACTGCGTAGACATTTCTTGCATAGTTTATATTTTTGTATTATGGCAGCAGAAAGAAAATGTAATGTCTCTTTTCAAATCAATGCCTTTTCAATAATATTTTGTAAGTCCTCAACAGTTGAAATGAAATAGACTTTGAATAAAATTATGAGGAACAACATTCTTTTTAATACGAACCTATGCTTATATCGATTCTTAAGTTGTATGTGGAAAGTAGTTATTTTACTGAAATGCTAACTTCGATCAACATAAGCGCAAGTTGTTCGAGGGAAACGCAGAATCTGTCTGCAATGGTCTCGATATTACTCTATTTATCCATTACGTAAAAAATAATATCGCTTTTACAAGAAAAATTAACGTTAGTTAGAAAACATTAATAAAAAAGAGTGAGCTTCTGGGAAATTTTATTTCTTCCCAAACCCACCGCTTTACACGGTCGCTAAATCAAGGATTGATTCCAATTTACTCAAAAACTTGCAATTCAAACGTTTTTAACGATTCTTTGTGGATACGAAGTCATACGTATGGAATAGACGACCTTATTACCGACATTCAAGCTGCGCACCGAATATTATTTAATTATTTAAATCACAAAAAATGTGAAACAAAGGATTCCTTTTCTTCTGGTCCAATTGTTTAATCCTATTTCCATACTTTCTCGAAAAATATCAATGCGACCGAGTTAAAATTTCGTGTCCACATTAAGTTAAAGTATTCATTGTTTTTTCTTTTCCACCAAACGTTTTTGTCACATCTTGGCTCATGACATGTAAAATCATATCCTGTCGATACGTGGAGAAATTTTTGAGATAGTTCAAAAAATTGAGGAGATAATATGGAAATACGATGAAAAATCGCAAGCACAAAAGGCCGCGGCTCGCAATGTAATAAAAATTAATTCGTGTACTTAGAACAACCAAAATTGGAGCATTTTGACAAAGTCTTTAGAAAAAATATAATATTTTTAGACCATATCAAAATCTGTGAAGTGATTTTAACAATGCCTAAACACTGCCTATCCTAAAAGATTATCTTCTTTCCCATTGCTCTCGTTCTTCCTTCTCTCCTTTCCTTCCCTTTTTCCTTAAAATTGTCGGGTTTCTGGGTTACCAGACTTGACAGACTTACAAAGTGACACCGTGACTCAAGAGCCAAGGTCCCAAGGACCGCTCTGAAAACCAACGATGACTTGACTTGACGATGAAAAAATCTATTCCACCGCGCCTCCCACTAGCTCCACCCACTTACCGGAGTCTAGCTGTCAAGCATCTCCTCGTATCCAGCCTAGTTGTCATGATATAGTTACATTGACAACCTATGACACTTGAAATAGATAGAGAGATGGGGAAATTTCGACTTCCTAATAACAGATATAAATATTTTTTAGTTGGAAATGCTTATATAATGTAGTGTGATTTAAGCCATTACCATTGACCACTATGAAGCATCTTCATATTTCACGTGAATATTTTATAATACCAATGATAGTGATGATTACATTTATTTACATATAAAATTCTATGCCAGCTGGGGCGAGCTTTCTTTTTCTTATTCTATTTCATTTTTCATAAAATTCCAGATTCTTTTATTTTGGCGTATTTAATAATATCATTTGTTATCAATATTTGCCAGTTTCTGGCATCTACCTTATTAAATGCAACTGAATCGGTATTAGCAAAAATGTATTCATTCCCGGAAGTAGGTAGCAAATAATAGGTTCCAAATGTTTTTTTTAAAGGGAAATGTTATTGGGGGCTTTTATTTACTTCCTAGGCTTACTTGTTTTTAACCAATCGTACAGAGCAGTTGTTCTTTGTGCACCCGTATTTTGTTTTTTCACTCCTGAGATTTTTGCTGTTTGTGTGTACTTTGACACTGAAAATCCCAAAGGCACATGTGTGCCCGTCCAAGTTGCGTAAGGGCAATTGCCATGGAAATTGCAAGCTTCTAAAGCGGATTAGAGGAGCATCGAAGATAATATGGTGAAACAATAGAGCCCTTTCCTTTAAAACGGTACTTATTTTTTAAAATTACTGTTGTTGAGGCTGAGCTTTATGCTAGTGGTTTAGCTAACCGTATCTCATTTTTGAAAGCTGTTATTGTTGTTAAATCCGTTTGATTTTTGTACAAACTATTGCTAGACTATGACAGTATTTGATATTTTACAAAAGCAAGTTCTCCTCTAGGGAAAAATGAGTTAACCATAATAAAATCTACAATAATAGCATAAAATCGATACAAAGCACAATTGCTGTATTTTGCGGGATTGCTACATTATTAATTACATCCCAGTCAAATTTTATTTAATTCGGTGGTATGGTTCTGAAAGAAATCGAACTTTTGTGAACGGAATCACAAATACTCAAAAAGTGCAAAAAATCCAGCTCCAACACTATTGATTTCAGAAGCATTTTATCATCCTTTTTATCATAATCAATTTTTTTTTGTCCACCATAAACTGATCACCTTGAATAGATTTTTATTTATAAGGAAACTCCATTATTCTGTGAGTATATGACTGTATACTGGTACAATGGAAAAAAATGTTTATTGTCTGAATAAATTCTAAATCTGCATATATTTGATGTTTTATTCCAAATGACTCATCACGTTGCTGTAATAGGATTTGGGGTTGATATACATCGAAAAAGGAAAAATTCAATTAGAATATAAAAAACAGCTGACTACGCGCAAAAGCTATCAAGATCTCTAAGGACACCTTGGAAGAAGAGTAGCAAATTTTCTCACTAAAAGGACTGCTAAATATGCAAACTTTTTGGAACAACCGGATTCTCAAGAGAGGCCACGCTGCTTTCCTATTACAATTATTTCCGGAAAGTATATAGTTCTTTGTTTAATCATATTCAGTAAAAAAGTCATCAAACTCTGGAAGTACGCTTCAAAAAAAACTCTTGCTGTGTAAGTAACATTGAGAAATCAAAGGGCTCAAATAATTAATATGCATTTGAATCACTGGCGCTCCCAAAGAATCACTTCATGAACTCCTTTTTTTCTCAAACGCTCATTCTAGATTTAGAATTTTGTTTAATTGTAACAGCTAGGAATATGCATAACTCTGTGACAATGTATTACACACCAATGTTTGAGCTATTTATTCTACCCATTGCCGACTAACTATACCTCCCACTGCCATAGAATAAAATCTTAGAAGTGTCAATGGTTTACAAAATATTCCAGTATAAATCTTAAGATTTTGTCTTATTTTAGTTTTAACGTCCATCGGCACTCCACCGTGTGCTTGTCTAGCTTTTAGCATACAAAAATCAAATCATTTAAAAAAATCTATTGACCCTACCTATGTTCCGAGAGGTAAACTATACACAGTGTTTCTGTCTTTTAAATGCACATAACGAAATGGTAGGTGGTATGGTCTAAGGTCTAAGGCCTTATCATAATGAAAATAAAGAAGTTCTAAATAATCTTTTTGCAAATTTACGATTTGTCCAGACACAAAGCTGTAAAATTTAATACCATATATCAGACCATAACAAACCGATTTAAATAATTATTTACACACCAGAAATTGATTCTAAACCATACTTTTTTAGGTATTAATTTAAATTACGTTCGAAAATGCAAAAATAACATAGATTGAAGCTGCAGTGTGTCGATCGAGTGTAAGCAAAAAAAGTAAGGCCCTGGAGTTTTTAAATGTAAGATCAATTTGTGTTCCAAAGACATTGAGAAAGTAGCAAAAACTTGTCCGACCCTAGATTAGATTTTCGTTTGAAGTACCATCAACTGGCTATTTCTGTACAATGTCAAACTTTTCGATATGGAACTTAATAGTGTTGGTTTTAACAAAATGAAAAGTCGGCTCCTAGACTTTTTAATTTTCTATCAGTATTAAATAACGCCAAATCACTTCTAATATTGTGCAAAATCTAATTGAAATCGTTTCACTTTCACTATCATCTTAAATTTTATAGCTTTGGCATGTTCACCAAAGTTATCCTCTATATAGGTTAAAAAAGAATTTCGAAATATTTTATTTCTAATACGAATGCTGCGTGGTCAACGGGTACAACCCTATGCCTTGTCGGTACGGAGGATGACACTCAGCCGGCCGCTTGAAAAGCAATAAACTCTGTTATCGAAAATTTGACAACAGCGCGTCATGCGGCCATCGCTGATACCGGTGTTCTGGTGAGCAGTAGGTTCGATTTAGGAGTGGCTATAATTTAATGCAAGTTTTAATAACTGAGCTGTCATCTAGCGGATTACAAGTCTCTTTGCGGAGTGGGAGTAATACCCAACATTTTGCCAAATTTTCCAGATGGTCAGTTCGCTCCAACTGGTTGATATTTGTGAACCGGTTTTTCACTTTCTGGAGTTTATTTTCCAACCCTTTGGACTCGCAGTGGAATTATATATATATATATATATATATATATATATATATATATATATATATATATACGCAAAGAAACTGGTTACGTAACCTATTTCAGTATGAACTTATTTTTTATGAATTTCAAGGCTCTTCTGTGATTGAGAAAAAAATCTCAGCTCTGAAGATATATGCACAAAGGTATGAGGAAATCTTGAAAAAAAAATATTTTTCTTTGCAACAAACGGTGATATATACAACCATTATGTTTTAACATGTGTATATTAACGTATGTTTTTCGAATATCGTAGTGCATCTGTTCAGTTACTCACAAATACGAAATGTTTGAAATTATAAGAAAAAGTAACCCTTCGTTTTTTGCATAAGAATAACATTCATCTTTCGGAACAGTTAATCATTAATATCGGCAAATTAAGGTCGTGTATCTTGCTATAAAATGTGATTTGGACGTACCTTGTATAAGGCCAGAAGAAAGCTGTTTCCGGATAAGCAATTAGAATTTCTCAAAAACTATTTGTCCAATCGAGTTCAGTTCTGTTGTGGTTATTAGGAAGTAAAGAGCCTACGGATGCGAGAAATTTCAAGTATCTGATTGACTCTATCGTCGCTTTACCAATAAGTGCCTCAAGATGCATTTCGACTAGGTTTTCTATTAGTCCACTCGTTTTCTGTATGGTCTCATTCTGTAGGTCTGGTAAATACCTGAAAGTCTTATTTGAAGAGTTTTTTCGTTTCTGTCGACACTGTTGATTCAATTCCCAAAAACACGTTTTTTCATTGTTTGTTGTTGAATAAAAAGTGTTCCACAAAAGTTGGTGGACCCATTTTATGCGTCCATATTTTAAATAACCCGTTGAACAACTTGCATAAATAAAACAAAACTTTACAATTATTCCGGGGAAATATGATTAGACTATCTAGTATTTTCTGAGTTGTCGCTACAATAAGGATTACCGGTCGATGGAGTGTTACTAGCTACTATCATCAAGACGTATAATGCCACTATTCCAGTTTCATTTTTCATGGATTTTAGTTATGCGGTTGGCGTCTAGATTAATTCAAGGCCGAGTCATGCAATTCAACTCATCATTTTCATATTGCACCAGATATGTATATATTGTATGAGAAATCAATTGAAATGTTTGTACCAACTACGAACTGAAGTTAGATACTAGGAGATTTCAATATGCCTAAATTATATAAGTTTTATAAACTCAATTTAACCTATCGATAATTTTCACCCACCATTGATAATGTATTTAGAAGAGTCAGGGTACTAATATAGGAAGTTTGATGAAAGCAATGAACTCTGCCTTAACTTTCGCAAAGCGAACCTTCCGGAACAATATAATGTCATAATTAATGCTAAGTTTCGTATTCTGGATAAGATTGAGAATATTTATGATTATATGCACTGCTAACATTATCAAAAAAGTGCAGCTACCCCCCTTGGTTTAGTAGAATGATAATAAGGAGCATCTAGTGCAGTCTAAGCTATGGTCTATCTTTAAATCATCTAATATATACTAAGTGACATATAAATCCGAACACCCAGTTTAAATGGCTTTATTTTAATAAAAGGTGGTGAATGTATTTATCTTACTGTAAATAACAAGTGAAAAAATTTTCAGCCTTATCAGTTGGACATTCCGGTTTTTATACTGATTTTTTTTAATTCACTAACGCTCTAAAAATGAATATTTCAGCCGCAGTAAATAATCAACGTTGGCGGATTTTGGTTCTTGACATCCTTTACGATCGGTTACGATGCCTAGAGTACGGAGACCTGTACGATTTCGTCAACTTAGTGAGTTTGATAGGGGCCGTATAGTGGGACTTCGGGAAGCTGGACTTTCTTTTCGGGCAATTGCAGTTAGAGTGCAAAGAAGTGTAGACACTGTAGTTAGGTGTTCTCAGGCATGGCTTCGAGAAGGCTGTACGCAAAGAGCAAGGGGCACTGGACGCCGCCGTAGAACAACAGACCGTGAAGATCGCCGCCTAAGATTATTGGCCTTAAGGGACCGTTTCTCCACTACCATGTCCATTGCAAATGAATGGTTTGCAGAACACGGAAGACCTATTGGCATGCGAAGTGTTTACCGACGAATGAGAAGTTTTGGCTTGTTTTCATACCGGCCACACTGGGTCCTCCCTTTAACTCGAGAACACCGACGTAATCGCCTTGAGTGGTGCAGACAACGGTCACTCTGGGATCAGGAATGGAACAGTATTGTCTTTAGTGACGAGTCTCGATTTTGTTTAGGCATGCACGATGGTCGTGCCAGGGTTAGAAGGCGACGTGGTGAAAGGAGGAATCCACAGTTTTTTGTTGAAAGACATGTTCATCACACTGTTGGAGTTATGGTTTGGGGTGCTATAGCTTATGGTTGCAGGTCACCTTTAATCTTCATCAGAGGTAACATGAACACGCAGCGTTATATCCACGAAGTTCTAGAACCCCATCTCTTACCCTATCTTGACACCCTGGCAGATCCAACTTTCCAACAAGATAATGCCCGACCACATGTTGCAAGATTCACAATAGGCTTCTTTCAACATAATGATGTCACATTGTTACCATGGCCACCAAGATCTCCCGACTTATCCCCAATTGAGCACGTGTGGGATATGATGGGTAGGAGATTGCTCAATTTGCAACGTCCTCCTCAGACTCTAGAAGCACTTCGAGAGGAGTTTGTGGTTGCCTGGAATGAGGTACCACAGGAGGACATTGACCACCTGATCAGAAGCATGCCTAGGCGCGTTGGAGAATGCGTAGCACATCAGGGTGCATCCACACATTATTAAAGGTCAAAGGGCTTTAAAGCAGTGCAATCATTTTGAAATTTTTATCATTTACTTATTATGCTTCATTAAGTACGTATACAAAATTTTATTAAAATAAAACCATTTAAACTGGGTGTTCGGATTTATATGTCACTTAGTATATAATAGCAATTATTTTCCGACACGTGTAGACAAAAAAGCAGGTACATAGTTTGCTCTTTTTAAGGCAAATTAGCTTAGTAGTATCTTACTATCAATTAAACTGGTTCCAGCAAATTCAGTTTGATAGAACAGACTTTAGTTACTTCGAAAAATAAAAAAATTAAGTACGGGTAATGGAAATTTTTCGGAACAACTGTTTATTTGACTACGTTTTCTCAGTGTGATGAAGGGATTCAAATATAGTGAATTTTTCTTACCCTGAATGCACATGGTAATCTTGAACTTCTGACTTAACCATCTGCTCTTCATTCGTGCTGTCTTCCCCTAATCCCGCGTAGACATACAGTCTGGTCCTCAGCAAGCAATGCGCTGCAGTCAGCACGTATTTTCCATTCAGCAATGTTCCTGTACAGAACACCGCCGGGAATTGTGGGGTGATGATAACCAGCGACTTGCCCAGGTCTGTATTGTGGCACTCTGTCGTATTTTGGCTTTTCGCTCTAATAAAAGCACTTGAAATAAATATGATAAGGTGATAAAACACGGTATGTGATCTTGGCAGTGACATTTTCAAATCGTTACATCCTGGACAGCTGTCAAGTCAACAATGCTGTCTATATGGGCATAGAAAGACCGCAGCATGTTTACTACCCTACAGTGTGCCAGCGTTGATTTAAACCATCTGGGATATCGACATGTAATCCGCAGGATGTTGCATACGCATGATATATTAAAATAATAGGTTTGCTAAGGGATCGTCTGTTAATAAAACCACTTACAGTGAGTAGTAAGCCATAAAAGTTAATTAAAAATTAGAAAATTAATAGAAGGTTTTATTTCTTTTTTATAGTTTCAAGGTATATACTAAATATGAAAAAAATGATCCATGATCCAATATTATTTGGTTGGTTTTTGGGTTGATAGGCCGACGTAAAACATTTTTACTTGACGTTTCGCTAACACGAGTGGTTGGCATCTTCAGAAGATGTTCACAGTTTGGAGTCTTGTGAGCTACTACTGTAGTCATCTTCTGAAGGTGCATACGTGCTGGCGAAATGTTAAGTAAAAATGTTGAACGACGGCCTAACGACCGAAAAACCAGCCAAATAACAAGAAGATAACGATTTAATTGTTTTTATATAATTAAAAATCAAACAGTAGCTAAAATAAATTAATTCTGCAGTGTGATAGTATACTTCGGCCCATAAAGCTCCGCGTCGCTCGAGTGTGCGGACTGTCATTTGATTGTGTTTAAAGGAACCCAGAGGAAGAGCTCCGCTTCTCTTCTCTTCGCTTCTTTTCACGTCATTGAGCGTGCACATTTATGGAGAAACAGTTTGATTTGTCCAACAAAGCAGCTGCAGAAGGATGAAAACGGAAGCTTTTGAATTACCGTTTGTGTATCCAGTATAGGATGATTCTGCCTTTGTACGATGATAACAATGATCAACAAGTATATTTTAACATTCTAGGAAAACTTGTGGCATAAATACCAGTTTTGGACTTTGAACGTTCTTCTAATAAGATTCTAGTAAGCGACCTCATTTTCCCACATTGGTAATTTTTTGTTTACTTCCTCGGAATGTCTATATGCTTGGATATTGACACCATGTCTTCCATCTCATCTTGCCGACTAGGACAGCAGACTAAGGCCGTATCATCAGTCGTTCCTACAACTGTAAGATGCCTCTATGGCCTCCTTGATTTTCATAGTTTTCTACTCTTCCCTATCAGCGCGCTATTTTGAGGTCATGTTACAGATATATATTTGCATCAAATTGTTCATATGTTGATTTCCTACAATTCAAGAAGAAAACATAGCCTGACAATAGGAGAGCGCTGATGCTGACATGGGACAGTAGAAATCTGGAAATATTAATCAAAGACATGAACAATTTGATGCAAATAGATATTTGTCACATAACCTCAAAATATAGAGTTGACACGGAAGAGTAGAAAACTATGAAGCCGTCCTGCAATTGTAGGAACAACTGACGATATGGCTGTAAGATGCGGCCTTTTGGACTATCTTTTTGCTTTTGTTACCCTTCGGTGGCACATTTGGTCTATTAACTCAGTCGGCGTAGGTTTCGCGGGTTCGATTTCCGCCCCAAGGTAAGTTTCTTCTTGTTGTGTTTGTTAGTAAGTGATAGCTGATTTCAGGCCGTCGACCGTGGAGGTACCATCCGGTGGATCTCTATGTCAGAATCTGTGCATGTCCCCTCTATCTCTCTATTGTCTCACGGCAGACACGGTTATTTAGTCGTTAGGCATTTATGGAGATCAAGTATAAATAAAGTACCAAAAATTTCGCAGACACTCGATGTATCATCGGACCACAATCATCTGTGTATAGAAATTACTCTGCAAATATGAAAACTTCATTCGATTATCTTTAAACAGAGTAGCTGCTATTAGAAAGCTGTAAGGAAATGATGAATGTGTAACAAACGTGTGTGTGTGTGGTACAGTTTGAATGCAAGACAAGAAAATATGCAAGAATAAAGTTATTTCTTATAAATTGAATTCTCAGGGTACGCATTTACAGGGCCTCAACTAGCATTTTGCTGAAATGGGCTACCACCCAAGAAAAAGTTACCTATGTTTGACAAATTTACTGACTATGTCCTTAAATGATGTCCTCAAAAGTTGAAAAAATTATATTGGTTATAGGTTCTTTTAATTTGGAACATGCTTGCCTAATTCGTCAGTTTAGAACATCGAAAATTGGAGCATTTTCACAAAATCCTCAGAATAATAAAATATTTTTAGATCATGTCAAAATCTGTCAAGCGATTTTAACAATGGCTACACGTTCCCTGTCCTAAAAAGTTCTATTCTGTCTCTTTGCTCTAATTCCTCCTTCTCTCCTTTCCTCCCCCTTTTCCTTATAATTGTCTGGTTTCTGGGCTACCAAACTTGACATTTACAAAATGACACTATGACTCAAGAGCTGAACTCCCACGACTCGCTCTGACAACCAACAATGACTTGACTTCACTGACGTTATACGTTCATTTGGGCTGGGGATTTGAGTGGCTAACGGCCGTATTCACCAATTCGGCGTTTGCCAGACTGTTACTTATCAGTTGTACAAAAAGAATTTTTTCGAGAGTCCACGGTGTATCACAGTGCACCACCGGGAACCAATGCTCAAATTTTCGCGAAGAACGGGAATACTGGAAGACGGATGTGACGTCGTCCGAATGTCAAAAAATCCCGCCTAACGTCTGTGAGTGCGAGTGACAGATCTTATGTCAATGTCATTTAAAAAACAGGCATCTCATTGAAAATTTGTCTTGGCAGTGCTGAAAATTGAGTTAAATAATTAAATCATAAATGGAGGAACACGTCCACCTGATTTTAAATGACGAGGGAGAAGGTCATCGAAGATATATGAACCGCACTTGTCATATCAAATGATTGATTTAGGCCCAATTTCACCAACATTAGTATTATAGACCAATGGGAAAATACCATATCGATACGCAATTTGACGGAAGCTGTCAAAGCTCTCTAAATATCAGTGATTTCTATTAAAATATTGAATAAAATCGTGAAAATTCGACTGCATTATAAACAAGACCACTTTTTTATTCCAACATGATGCTTTTGTAACGAGAAAACAGGACAACTTTCATGTATTTTGATTTATGTTATAAGTTTACATTTGACAATCCGTTATCCCCTCAGCGAAAGGGAATGGGAGAAATAATAGGTAGATTTTCTAGCTGTTAAATTTGGCAGCGGGTTTGGACGTTTGTTAATGCATGGCAATCTCGAATTTGTTAAGTTCAATATACTGAGTCTTTATATGTTATCATTATAGGTACATACATCTTGCATAGTGTGGATTTGTCTGTATTTTGCAAGAAAATGGAATATTTAATACATTCGATCCAATTATTCATCTTCCTTTACATGATAATTAATTTACGGGTTAACGAATTTCCTCAAAGCAATAAAAACATTGTCCTGTCCATCCTAAAACACAGATAATATGTGTAAGACGTGTCAATCCCTACATCTCCCTGATGCATAATGCAATTACTATGGGCATAGACAAAAAATTATGAAAAATGTCTCACAAATAATGTCTTTTGAGTCCAAAAATCATAAACACTAATAGTGTTTATTATTTGATTGCCTTTTTGACTGGCGGGGATATCTATCTGTCACTCGCAGGGTTGTCAAGTCTAACGATGCTCACGTCCCGTGGTGGAGGGTGCGACATGAATCTTTTACATCTGCTGGTTATGAATTTAAAGTAGGAATACAAACATAGTACTTATGATAGTTGGAGCTAGACTGAAGAATATTTGAAAAGTGTGAACACCATCATGGTGTGTTGTCAAATTGCAAATGCAGTATCTGAAAATTTTTACATGCAGTGGACCTTCGTCATAGTTTAATATCCTGATTATGATCATCTCTGGCAGATGTGTTGTATCACCAAATTGATGAACCAATATAAGAAAGCTCTTATATACCTACATACAGCGGATTTTTCATGAAAATTTACTAGGTATCATGATTATAAGCATCTTTGGTAGATTCTTCGATCCGGAATGGGAAAGATCTCCTATTTATAAAAATATTTTTGGTATCATCTAACCTTTGCAATCAGTGCACAAAGACTGTGACATATGATTTATAGCATAACTCGCTGCCATATCAACACAAATTTAAGATAAAGGTCGCCTATCCGTGGGGATGCAGTGGTCGGGATGATTATCACGGCAGCAACTGATGATTTGGGCAAGTCTGGTAACAACGTATGAAGTGAAACTCGCTAACTTCACAAATTTGAAGATTTTGTACAGTTTCTTTGAAAATGATGAGAGATGTGTCTGATTTGCCAAGGTAATGTCGCAGCCAAATGGCAGTCGGTCTTTCTGGACGTTGGTCAAGCAGATTGAAAAGAACTTGTCACACAATAGCCTTCCACACCTACGTGTCAGGACGGAACGATTGTAACTGACTCGAAGGCCAAGGCTGAGGTGCTTGTCAAGATCTTTGCTACCAACTCCACCATGGATGCCCCCCCAACAAAGCTTCTGGTCCGGACTTGAGTGTACTGCAGAGGTGTACAGCGGTGCTTGCTCCAGTTCTTTCGCGTCTCTCCCAGATATCTGATGAATCCAGAAAACTGTAAATTTGCTCATGTCCAACCCATCCCAAAAAAGGATCTAAAACCGACCCTTACATCTACAGGCCTATAGCTCTGCTTTCTGTTATACGTAAGGTGATAAGAGGTGCATAAATCGTGAGCTTCTGGGCTACTTAGAACGTCTCGGCTTGATTAGCGATAGGCAGTATGGTTTTCAACACCAGCGATCCACAGGGGACCTCCTAGCGTACCTCACGCAATTGTAGAGTAAGCAAATCCAGTATTACGGTGAGGCTTATGTCGTTGGTCTTGATATCACGATAGCGTTCAATCAGCTGTGGCACGCTCTTATGCAAACTTCTATCCCATGACCTCCCAGAAAGGCTTTGCAGATGGGTGGCTGACTTTCTCTCTGGCCGCAAGGTATCCGTCGTGATTGACGGGATCTCCTCTTCATCCCGCAGGGTCAACGCGGGTGTACCCAAGGGATT